GAGGTTCCGCTGACGTTCCGCTGGCGTTCCGCTGCCGTTCCGCTGCCGTTCCCCTGACGTTCCGCTGAGGTTCCGCTGACGTTCCGCTGACGTTCCGCTGACGTTCCGCTGACGTTTCTCCTGAGGTTCCGCTGAGGTTCCGCTGGCGTTCCGCTGACGTTTCTGCTGAGGTTCCGCTGAGGTTCCGCTGGCGTTCCGCTGACGTTCCGCTGACGTTCCGCTGAGGTTCCGCTGAGGTTCCGCTGAGTTTCTGCTTGTGTTCTGCTGACGTTCTGCTGACGTTCTGCTGACGTTCTGCTTGTGTTCTGCTGAGGTTCTGCTGACGTTCTGCTGGCGTTCTGCTGAGGTTCTGCTGGCGTTCTGCTGGTGGTTCCCCATGCTGAAGTGAAGACTCGAGGAGACGGAGCGTTCTGTTCAGTGGCCTCCAGAATCTGGATTTCTCTTCTTTGGGTTTAAAATTGGTCGACTTTAGAAGCCAGTCCAAACAAAACATTTCACATCTGCTTTTTATTTACTTGTGCTTTTATTAGGGTGCACCAATGAATCACCTCTGATTTCTTTCATTTTGGGTGAGCAGCTGATACTTCAATATGAATCCGATCTCTGACTCTTCTGTAGAATAATGCAAACCAGATGTGAAATATTGAGCTGCTACAGATTCTGAAACGGATCATCCTTTAGTCAAAAAAGCCTTCGAAACGATTCAGAATTTATGTCTAGATTGGCACAAAATCTACTGGAAACATTAGAAAAGTAAGTTTGTAGGAACCTGCTGATCTATCCTACACCCAGCCTTAGACTCTGACTGGATGCAGATTGTTCTGGTTCTAAACCAAGCCAAACGGTGTGCAGCCGTTCAGCCGTTCCTCAAGATGTTTCTGTTTCTGCCTGATTTCTGAAATCTTCGCTGATGGTGGAAACTTCCTGTGTCCGTTTTTGTTCTGACCAGGTATGAAGTCGCTCCCCGTTCAGACAGCGAGGAAAGCGGCTCAGAGTTCGAGGAAGAGGTCAGTGACCTTCATCAGCATCATGTTTCATCCTCAGTTCTGCCCTGCTTTGAATCAGCTGCCTGCTGTTTGTATGTGAGCAGGTTGCTCCACTAGGGGGCGGTAGCTGCAAGCAGTTTTAATTCTTAGCCTTTGATATGTTTGGACTCTGTTTCAATGATCTGCTTTCAATTTGGCCTTATCAGGACGAAGAGGAAATGGGCAAGGCGGAAACGGAGGAGAAGAAGAAAACTGATCCCAACGGAGACGAAAAGGCTAAGAACGACGCCAAGAACATCATCGAGTACTGCATTTGTTTTTCATTGTCACACATATTACATTTTAACTCTGAGAAAACACGAGTCCAATGCAGACATAATGAAGTTAAAGACGAGTCGAAAGCTCTTCAGCTGCTCTCTTCCTCTGCACACGATCAGGTCGGCCAAACAAGACGTGGACGATGAGTACAGCGTCCCCACTGGGCAGACCAGCTCCCAGTCGTACTACGGCGTGGCGCACGCCGTCATCGAGAAGGTGGAGAAGCAGTCGTCTCTGCTGATCAACGGCATGCTCAAACAGTACCAGGTGAACATCAAACCGCCTCCGACGTTTGAAATGCTGCGAGCCAGACCACTTTTTTCACTTCCAAGGCCGATAATCTGAGGTTCACTAGGTTTCTGTCCACCACAAATCTGCAATAAACTTCCAGAAAACTGCAAAACAGCTGAAACACTGAGTTCCTTTAAATCCAGACTAAAATCCCAGCTGGTTAGAGTTTGGAGCTTTTGAACCGTATTAAATGAAACATTGAAAACATGTTTGATGTGTATGACTCTGGTGAAGACAAAATGTAAAGTTGACTTTTTGAGTTTTTATGTAAAGAGGCTTAAACTTGATTAATTGAAACAGCTGAACCAGTTTAAAACGTTTCTGAAGACATAAATGTACCGAATTACACATTTATTTGATAACTCAGCAGCAGTACAGCACACTTAAACATTTAAATACCAGAAAAAAACACCAACAAACCTTTCAGACGGTTCAGAAAGTGGAATTAGGAATTCTAAAAGTAATGTAAAATAAATAAATAAAGCCTGACGTCACTCAGGGCACAAGGCGTAGAACTAGACTGAACAGATCTGCACTCTTGGATTGGATTAAATTAGCCGTATGAATTCATCTGTTTTTTTGCTCGAGTTTTGATTCCTCTTGAGCTTTTCATGTTTTCTCAGAAACTCAAACCTCAAAAAGGCTTGTTGGGGTTTTTTGTGTCGACACAAAGCAGTGATTAAGAGGAAAGATGAAGGAAATATTCCCTTTTTATGAGTGAAACCTTCTAAGTGGGAGTTGGATGTGAATTGGAAGTCGGCCTTCTGTTCTGCGAAGGCCTGAGAGGAGAACAAACGTCATGAAGAGCAGCAGACAGACGGCTGAGATCAAATCTGAAAACAAATCTAAAATCATTTGCCTTCAATTTTAAAATCCCCCCAAAATTATGCTGCTTTATTCTCTTTTTTTGTTGCAAAATGTGAATAAATGTTTCCAGATTTTTATTAAAACAAAACACATTTTTATCTTAGACCTAATCGGGTAGCTGAAGTTTTAATTTTGGTTTTAAAATCCCTTTTCTTGTCAGACTTTCAGCTTCATCTGCAGTCATTTTTCCTCTCATTGACTCTTTAATGTTGCATATTTTCCTGTTAAAACGCTTCGCCGGCGTTGGAAAAGCAGGTTTTTACGGAGTCGTACGTCGTCCTGGCAGTAATCAGTCAAGAAGACAGTTGTTTAACAGAAAAGACATACAGTGGTGACAGTAATGGAGTAGTCATTTTCTGCTCGTTAAGATGGATTTTAAAAGCCTATTGGAGTTAACAAATAATTGACTTGTTTCCATGAGTGAAAGAGCTGGCTGTCATTTAAAATTCATTCAGCGCACACGGTGCAGCATGCATGTTGGCGCATCTGCTTTTAGTTTAATTTCAGCAATTTGGTCAAATAGAAAAAAGTGAAAAAAAAACTTTTATAAAAGTTGAAAAACTTGAACCACTTGCAGTTTTTCAGCTCTGAACTACAAAAGTTAAAAGTTGTAGATTTCCCAACCCAAACTTCAAATTCCCAAAAAATGCTTCTAGAAATGATTTATTTAATGTAGATTTTTTTCACTCCCTGAACAAACTGAAGGGCAATAGGTAAACATCCTGATCTTAACAGAAATCTGAGCCACATAGTTTCTGTTTGACTTTAATATCCAAGCATTTAGGGTGAAAATGTCCTTTACATGGAAATTGACGGTGAGGATTCAACCTAAACTGGGAATCCAGAGTCGGTACCTGCAGACCCTGTTGGCCTTTGACTGGAGTCCTGCTGGAGGACGGATCCTATCGGATAATAACACCTCCACTCTGCTGAAACACATCACACATCACCTTTCAGAAGCTTAAATTAACCCTGATGGGCCGAGAGAAGCAGCTTTATCGTCCATCACTGATGGTAGCTGATGATGTGCGTCAAACTTATGGGTGCACCAGAAACGCTGGATTCACAAGGTTCCGTCCTGAAAGTGAAATAAATGATTTATTGTATATTATTAAAATTTCTGTAATTAATTAATCTAAATTATTAACGTATTAAAGTTCTGGCTACAGTAATCTGTGATGCCCGAATCTTTTTGTTGAATCTTGACCAGAGATAAGCAGGCAGATACTTTTAAAATCTGATTTAGTTTTTCTTCTCCATCTTTGATCCAGTTTTTAACTTAACAATAAAAGTTAGGTGAAGTTTTAATGCTTGTAGTCACATAATCTCCTCATTCTGTGTTTGAGTCAGAGATACGAACCTGCAGCACGTTTCTGTCTTTTACGGTTCATGTGTTTTCTTGCTAATGAGCTTTTCTGTCTCTAGGTATTAAAATAAACTTTTAAAAGCTCAAACAACCTGGAAATCTGTATTGTTCAGCAAAAAGCTGCTCAGTGCAACTCTAACATGAAGGAAGTAATCTGCTGGAGATTTGTACTTTTAATACAAGTTAAGCAGCAGCCAGATCATTTGTTTAGGAAAAATTGCATCTTAATAATCCTCATATTCTTAATTAGCATATAAATGATGTGAAGCTGGCTGACTGTAGCCTAGTTTTGTAGTTGTTTGAATCCATTAGCATATTGTTTGCAATTAGTCAGACATCTGGATCCTTCTGGAGCCGTTTAAGCCGATGCCCATCTTGTCCTGCGTGTCTGTAGATGAGTTCTTACCTGTTGGAGGCAGTCAGGTGTGACCAAGCAGATCTGCTGTGTTTTCACTGTGCCGCAGATTGCTCGGGTGGAGGATGAACGACCAAACTGGGAGCAGCTCACATCATTTTTCCTTCAGCATCCAGTTGTCTCTCTGCACATCCTGCTAATTTACTGTTGGGTTGGTTTCATGTGAGCGGTGCTGCTGCTCCTTAGGGATTCTCCAATAATTGGATCACTTGTTTCCACTTCCAGCATCGACCTGCATAACGCACCTGGAGAATTTACAGAAGCAGTAATATTTCTATTCTTGTGCTAATATAAAGCTGCCTCCTGTTTCTGGAGACATCGCTGACGGACGCGCTGATCGGAGACGCGGGGTTTATAATTGGACCTCCTCTCTGCAGCCGCTGGCCTCCTTTTTGTTCCGTTTCATCATCCTGTCTTTTGTTCATTGTTATTTTGCAGCTTGTTTATTTTTCCACCTGCTTTATTTCTCTGATGGAAAAACAAACGCAGCGAGCTCACCAGGAAAATCTTTTTTGGGGTAGAAAAACTGACATTCAGATTTTATTTAAATTCTGTTGTTTTCTCTTCATACTTTCACCATGAAGAGTTCACTTTTTGATCTTATTACACATTCACACCTCCACAAACGAGCCAGACATTCTAGCCAAACAAACTGGAGTTGAACTACAGAGGACTAAACGGAGCTGGTTTATCTGCAGTGTGTCATTTTCTGCGATGGAAACTTTGCAGCTCTGCGTGTCACCGTCTGAAATGTTGTTTGTATGTTTTTAAGATCCAGGGTCTGGAGTGGATGGTGTCCCTCTACAACAACGACCTGAACGGCATCCTGGCTGATGAGATGGGCCTGGGGAAGACCATCCAGACCATCGCCCTCATCACCTACCTGATGGAGCACAAGAGGCTCAACGGCCCCTACCTCATCATCGTTCCTCTCTCGTAAGCCGTCCTCAGCTTTAGCGTAGACAGCCTGCTACTACAAACACACAGCAGGACAGGGTGTTTTACTGGACTGGAGTGGTGGATAATTGTTTCACAATTTTATACAAATAAAAATCTAAAGTGGGGAAGTGATGCTTTCAGCAGAGACAACCTTGATTCCCTTTTATTCTCTTTAGTCCAAATGGAGGGAGAGTTGAATTTTTTAATGAAACCTTTTGTTAGAAATGTCTTAATGTGAGCTGAAATCCTCCGGCCATCCTGGAGGATTCCTTCTGTCTGATGTCGACAATTTTCTCTGAACCTGTGAAAGTCGTCCAATTAGGTCGCCGATCCTCTGCAGTGATCTTCGAGTGTCTCTCCTCTCTCCTTCCTGTATCTTTGCACATGATGGAGTCGAAGTGGCTCTTAAAGTGATTTAAGCTGCTGCCTTTGAAGACGGATGCTTTGAGTGCTCCAGGTTCACCATCCACACCATCCAGGGATGAAAGTTAAAGCTGAAACGTTTCATTTGCTCTTTTTCAGGACTTTGTCCAACTGGGTTTATGAACTTGACAAATGGGCTCCTTCTGTGGTCAAAATTGCTTACAAGGTAAAATCAAATCTGTTGTTTTGTTTCACCTGAGCTGTTTTTAATCTGTTTTTTTGCTAACTTTATTTTTTTCCTGCCTTTTCCATTTAAGGGAACTCCTGGTCTGCGTCGGGGTCTCGTCCCTCAGCTCCGCAGCGGCAAGTTTAACGTCCTCATAACGACATATGAATACATCATCAAGGACAAACACATCCTGGCGAAGGTAAAAGACATCAAAGATGCGTCCCGTTGGCTGAAACCGCTCTGAACTTTCAGGCTTTGAAGAGAAATCTCTTATATTCAGTTGTTTTTCTTTGTTTTTTATTTCTGTACAACGTTACAAAATGAATCCTGAATGAAATAATACGTTTTGCAGCATTAAAAGCATCAGTCTGTTTTTGCAATATTTAACTTTTGGCTTCAGCCAGAGCTTTGATGTCCCTAAGAATGAGAGCAGGGTTTTGATGAATGGAAATGTGGAAAACACTTACATCTTAAAAAGGTGCACCTAAAACATATCAGACAAATATCTACAAATTTATTAACTTAAAGTATAAATTTCAAGCATTTATTTCTGATGATTCTTGCTTACAGCTAATGCAAACCCCAAGTTGAGTCTCTCAGGAAACCAAAGTAATAAAAATAACTGATATAAAAACAATATTTTATGTGTCCATTCGTTAATGGAGGGAAATCCTCCATTAAGTCACCATCTAACCGTGCTTAGCTAGCTGTCAGAGGTTTAGCAGACAAAGTCTTTTTTCTGTACACCCCTAACCTGAAAACCATGGAAAAAATTCAACGTATTGTCTGGAAAATACGATATTTTATTAGCCAAGGCAAAGAACTTCAGGGCTAAATTTGATCCATGGAATAATTTAGTCTTTTTCCATAAAGTGCTTCTGTTCAGATCTCTGCCCTGCTGCTGTTTCGGAGCATTTAAACGATGCTGCAGTTCTCACTCCACCGCCGGTGTTTTCAGATCCGCTGGAAGTACATGATCGTGGACGAGGGCCACCGCATGAAGAACCACCACTGCAAGCTGACGCAGGTGCTGAACACCCACTATGTGGCTCCGCGCCGCCTGCTGCTCACCGGGACGCCGCTGCAGAACAAGCTGCCCGAGCTCTGGGCCCTGCTCAACTTTCTGCTGCCCACCATCTTTAAAAGCTGCAGCACCTTTGAGCAGTGGTTCAACGCGCCGTTCGCCATGACTGGAGAGAGGGTAACTGGTTAAACTGAGGCTCTTCTGACTGTTATAGTAGAAAAACCTTAAAATGGGTTTAAATTAACAGCTTTCCTTTAAAATATGTTGCACAATTTCCTTTATTTGAATTGTGGCTACAACTTATTCTTCTTCTATGAAGGAAGCATAACTAACTAATGAAGTGCCACAAAATATCGCAGTAACATTCTAAGTCCATATTGCCCTCCCTAGGCTGAATAATTAAAGCTGCTTTTCATGCTTATCAAGCTGGTGAAGCTGTTCTGGTGCAGAGGTAACAAATAAACTTGTAATTCTATATTGTTTTTTAAAAAAAAGGAAAGGTTTTACTTTAGCTCAGCTGTTTTTCTGTGTTGGATCGGTATTGGCCAATACGAACCCTCACATATGAGTATCGGTAGTGATGAAAGTGGATCCCCAATGAAAATGTCCAGGGATGCTCCTGGACAGCTGGTGCAGAGGCTCGGTCGGTTCAGGACTGGCTGCCCGGCCGGACTCTGAGGTTCTGCCCCTCGTCTGTTTCAGGTTGACCTTAACGAGGAAGAGACCATCCTGATCATCCGCCGTCTGCATAAGGTGCTGCGCCCGTTTCTGCTCCGCAGGCTGAAGAAGGAGGTGGAGTCTCAGCTGCCTGAGAAAGTGAGATGTTTACTTTGACGTTTGTTACGACATGCAAAATGTTCACTGCTGCTCGACCTTTAACCCCTTAACTGTCACGATGACACGATGTTAACGTTTTATAGGGTGACAGTTAAGGGTATTAAATCTGACAGTGGGCGACCGTGGCTCTGTGGGTAGAGTAGTCGTCTTGCAATCGGAAGGTTGTAGGTTCGATTCCAGCTTCCTCCTGCCACATGTCACTGCGCCCCTGGGCACTGCGCCCCTGGGCACTGCGCCCCTGGGCACTGCGCCCCTGGGCACTGCGCCCCTGGGCACTGCGCCCCAAATTGCCTACCGAGCTGCGTGTAAATGTTTGAGTGCAAATGGGCGAATGTGACTCTGGTGTAAAGCGCTTTGAGTGGTCAAAATGACTGGAAAGCTCTATATAAGTTCAGTCCATTTACATGTAGAGATGATCCAGAGCTCAGAATCATTATCTTTTATTGGTAAATATAAAATTTGAAAGAATGTTCAATAATTTCACTGAACTTCAATCTGGAACCGCATGGCATTCTGGGTAATGT